AAAACCTGAAAACAACAAGAAAGTGAGACACCCAGCACAGTGCCTAGCACTTAGGGAATCATTGGTAAGGATGGCAATTGTCATAAATGGAAACATGGTTTTTGGAGGATGGAAAGGAAAAAGGATTACTCTAGATTTAAACAGACCAAACACCAGTGACTTGAACTTCTTTCAACTTATAAGCCAATCAGAAACCTTTCTGTATATGGTGGGACTATACTTGGGTGAGAAAACAGATACTCAATACTTCTATTTCATAAAGAAGGTATCATTTTATCAACTCCAAATCCATCCCTTCTCCTTCATAGCAGTCAGACCTGAAAACAAAGTCCAAACATCCGAGAGGTTTGAAAAATTTTTCTCTCTCAATTAGGATTTCCTGAATCCATCATTCTGAATAAGACTGTCCTGAGCATGTAAAGGAAGCCCTTAGAAAGGCTATGATATGGTTTGGCTGTGTCCTCACCCAAATCTCATCTTGAATTATAGCTCCTATTATCCCCACGTGTTGTGGGAGGGACCCAGTGGGAGGTAACTGAACTATGGGGGTGGGTTTTTTCCCTGTGCTGTTCTTGTAACAGTGAGTAAGTCTCATGAGATCAAATGGTTTTATAAAGGCAGTTCTCCTGCACATACTGTCTTGCCTGCCGCCACGTAAGAGGTGCCTTTGCTCCTCCTTTGCCTTCCACCGTGATTGTGAGGCCTCCCTAGCCATGCTGAATTGTGAGTCCCTTAAACTTCTTTCCTCTATAAATTACCCAGTCTCAGGTATGTCCTTATAGCAGTGTGAGAATGCACTAGTACAGGCCAGGAACGTATAAATAACATGGCCAGCTTTTAGTGAGTGCCAAATGTATGCATAAGAAAGAGAAAGAAAGAACAGAGGCATAGAAAGGATCAAATACACCATCTCATGCAGCCTTTCCTGTCCTCTGCCCTGGTAACAGCACAGTTGAGGCCTCCTCTCCATCACCCCTTCTCCAGTCCTCACCCCCACCCCTGGCATGAGTCTTCTAGAACACAGTGCATGCTTCACTCTTCTGCTCAACAGCCTTCGATGGCTGCCCACTGCCTTCACGATAGAGCCATTCAAACCTTCAGTCTGTATCTTCAAACTTACCTCCTTTCATTTCCTATGGAAACTAGAAATCTGATTGAGTCACACTCATCCATTCATCCATTCATTGCTCCTCAAAATGCTGTATAGATTCCTACCTCCCAGTCTTTGTTCACACCATTCCTTCTATCTAGAATCCCATTCCCAATCCCCTTGGTTTATTCAAATCTTAGCCTTTCTTTAGAGCTGACCCCAGGTCCCCACCCTCTTTCTAGTAATTCTTCCACACTCACTCTTGCTACATTGGTCTTTCCCTCATTAGTTGCTTGAATCTTTTACTTGGCATTTAGTATCCACCGTTTTTTATTGTTAGTTACCAATTTTTTAGGTCTGACCCAGCTCCTCAAACAAACTGTAGCAACTCAAGGTCAGGGACCATTTCTGGTCCTCTTGGAGCTTTACTGCAATGCCATGCACACAGCAGGCATTCATCATATTTTGCAAGCATGGGTAGATAGAGCACTGCCTTGGAAATTGAAACCTAAGCCCAGTTCTGCAGTCAATTGCCAGCATGACTGTGGCCAAACCACCAGGTGACTCTGGGCCTCAAATCCCGCATCCATTACAGAGAAGTGAGGAGAGTTGGACTGAGGTCCTTGCCAGATCTAACAGTCCATGAGAGGGGTTGACCATTCACTAATATTGCTGGAAAATCTTTTTTCTGGCTTATTCACTTAAGTCCCATCACTAAAGCTAGTGGGAGATGTTTGGGGGAAGCAAAGATTCAGCAAAGGAGCCTGTGAGAATTCAGAGTTTAAGGAGAGCTGTTAAGTTTGAACTTTTTAATTTAAAGAGAACAAGATCGCCAAACTAAAATGTCCCATGCCTTCTCTTTTCAGTGCCTAGTAGCAACTTGCTAGGAAGGCAGGGCTGATGCTATTACTTGGGTTCAAGATAACATGCACCCTTTCCTGTTTTTTAGGAGCTGTCCTTGTTAAGAAGATGTCATAAGGTCAGCATTTGATAGGGGAGAGGAAAAAGGGTCTTAAGTTTTGAAGTTTCCCTTTTCTTGCTTTGATTCCAGCAGGACAGCACAGGCACATGGCCCTAGAAGTTAATCTAAGTGGACCAGAAGGGCTCAGAATCAGGGCCCATCTGTCTATACCCAAGGCCTTCATTTCAAGAGGCAGGAAATAAGCCTTGACTCAACCTCAACTTTGAATGAGAATGAGATGCTTTCCAGGGAGGCGGGTATTTGGCCCATCCAATTCTCCGCCCTCCCTCACAAGTCAGGAGGCAGCAAAGGCCAGAAGAGAAGCTCTCAGAACACAATCGGGAGACATCACTTTATCTCAGCGTTTCTGTTTCATTGGCTTACCAATTCCTACATCCACGTGAATGTGATCCTCAATTTCTCCACTTACAACAAACACCAGGCTTTACCCTCCCTATCTCAGATGATGCAGTGAGAAGAAAGAAAACAGAAGAGGGAAAGAGAGCTGATAGGGAAAGAGGCTGTAGACATTTGTGGAACTCATCTTTTTAGGCATATAACTCAGATACAGGGAGAGAATGGGGGAAAGTAAAGGGTGAGTCAGACACTTCTGGATGTATAAAACCTTCTTGCAGTATTGCAGTGTTAGAATTCAGAAAAACCTTCAGAGATCACCTGGATCAATCACTTCCTTTTGATAGATTTTAGAGACTGAGCTCAGAGAGGCTGGGACTCTCCCAGAGGTAAATGAGGCTAGTGCAGGAGCCAGGACTGGGACTCCCAGCCCACTGCTTTCCCCAGCAGACCAAGTGAGTTCCCTTCACTTCCTCCCGGGACTTAGTTCAGGTTCTCGGTTCCCTTAACTTCCCCCCTAAACTGACATCAAGTTCTTGGCTTAGTGGAAATATTTTTAGCCTTGACCACATCATGGACAGCAGTTCTATTCTCCATGATCCAAGTGCTCAGCTGAAAGGAAAAAGAAGTGTCCAGAGCAATTCTGGGACCAGATCTCTGCATGACCAGTTCTCTCAGTGTTGGGCTGTCAGCTGAGCTAAGGGAGGCAGACATGTTCTGGTTCAGTGTCTGTGTTTTGTTTCTGATGTAAACATGGAACTGAAGGTCTGTTTTCACTGCCTCGTTACTGATAGGATGACACACTTTCCCACTATTCTTCTTAGCATAAGCCACAAGAAGCGCTGGCAAAACAAATCCATGGTCACATCCTTTGTCATTGTGAATGTTTAGTGGATTCTGACATGTGGCGGGACGGGGGGGGAACGTGGCTACTTAGCCAGGCTGGCAGGGGCTCATCACAAAACAGCTTTTATTCCAGTGAGAGAACTTAGAAAACACAGTCTTCAGTAAGAACCCTGGGGGGCGGTAGGGGAGATATCAAGGTCGAGCTGTCCATCTGGGCTTTTGGTTTTCAGGAAGGTCCCTCTCTAAACCTGTGCAGCTCTGGCCTGCTGGACTTTCGCAGCTCCAGAGGAATCACAGCCTGGGAACATGCAGACAGAACCCAGACTCCATGAGGAGGGTGGAGGATATGAACCTGGGGTTGCAATTTCCTTCACTCTCAGGAGAAAAGCAGCACGAGTATCCCACTTGTTTATAAAGAAATCTGTCAACAGGGACCTAACGGAATATGGAAAAGCAGCCAGTGATTCGCATTCTACTTTGAGCAGGGCTGCCTGCTCAGAAGGTGCTATCCCCAAGCTCTGCAACTTTCAATTCTTGGTCACCCTGAACTGAGGAAAGGGAACTCCATATGAATAAGCAGAAGAGACCAGAGGAAAGTGCCCTTTGGAACAGGGAAGATTGGAAAGAGAGGATAAAAACATAAAGCAGAAAGTGGAAGTTTCCCAAGTGGTTATGAATAACAATCTATTGGCCGTGGTATGAAAAGTGCTTTTTAGAGCTGAGGCTCTAAGGGTCATTCGTTCAACAAGCAAGTGTGTGGAATTTGGTAGCCAGCACCATGTTAGGTGCAACAGAAAGTAGGCTCTATGATGCAGCCTTTTCCTTGACAAGTTAATCAGCAGTACACATACCTATGAAGCATTCACAATCAGTAATAGTACTTTCCAAGTGAATGCTTTTTGCAGTTTTGGAAGGAGTTTCACTTACATTTGATCCTTATGACAACACGGTGAGGCAATCGGGGAGAGTCACTCTCATGTTATAGATGATGGAACTCATTTCTCAAGCGACATGCAGATAATACACGCAGTATTATCCAAAGGCTTTTGACCTGTGTTTCCATTTTTTAATTAAGTGAAGGTTCAGAGGGGCTTTGAGAGAGACTGGGAGTGGCAGATGAGATCTGGGGAGAGCAGTGAGATCACAAGGAAACAGCAGTACTGTTAACTAGTTTCTGTGTCGCCAGTGCATGCTCCAACCACTTGACAGATAAAATGTGGAAACATTTTGGGAAGAGGATTCAGAACACTCAGCGGCAGTTTCAAAGAGAATTAATATGTATTCACTAGTCTCAGCCCTTCATTTACAAGATACCTGTGGATACATGTAGAAACTTCTAATGACAGAATGTGCTTTTAATGACAGCTTACCCAGTTGTATGCCTAGGCCTTGAAATGGTGCTGGACGAACTGTACATCAACATTGAGAAAGCCCTTCACTTTTTCTGGACTAGCACTGGCACTTTCTTAATTTAAAAAGATGAAAACAAAACTTAAAAACCTTCAAATGATGCTAGGTATAGATTAGGAAATTAGCTGACCAAGAATTAAAATTTAAAATCTAAAACACAAGTAATCTGGTCAAAGTCTCTCCTAGAAGCTTATTAGGGTGATGACTATTCAATCTTCCATCAATTTCTAGACGGCATGAATTCTTCTCTCCTGGCCTTAACTGAATCCTCAGGTTTAACCCCTCATGTTCCATTTTCACACGGGACAATCCACGCATCATTCACCTATAGAACAGTACCTGTTCCCGGCTCCTACTGATCCTCTCAGACAGCAAATCCGAGTTGTTTCTCTCTTCTTCCAGTTCCATCTCCAATTGAGACACCTTGTCCTAAGAAAGAAATCACAAACACAGTCGACTTAACTTGCACTGATCGGGATTAAGAGCAAAGACTGCCCCATAGAGAAAGAACTCTAAGGGCAAATGAGAGCTGACTAGCATTAGGGTTTGGAAAAACAATATATCTATTTCTTACATTGCCCAAGGCAGATATTTCTTAAACTATGTGTTTCATGACTTGTAATGTAAAATATAACTGTGTATGTAGAAAACACATAGAAGAAGAAAAAACATTATCCCAAACCCTAATACAAACACTAAGGACATTTGAGCATGTTTCTGTCAAGTCTTTGTTTCTCCCTGTGAATCAATAACTTTAAACAGATCTACCTAAGCCAGTGTCTGTTAAAAGACAATGTGGAAAAAAACACTTCATGCTCAGGATAATCTTCTGTCTGCATCCTGCTCAGGGTTTCCAAGAGCCTTGCAGGAGTAAATCTACAGCAGACATCTAAGGAACAGCATGCATTTGCACTGTGCACTCCCAAACCTGCATTGGATGAACCAAAAGGCAGTGCTAACCAATTCTGTTAAACTCATCATCACTTAAGAATAATAATTTGTGGCTTCTTTGTTGGCTCCTAATCTAACCTAATTGAGTGTTAAGAGAAAAACATTTCAAAGCAGCTTTGTATATGAAGAAAAGAGGCTTCTAACACCAACCACCCCACTTAGAACTGCGGGTTGTTGGTCTTGAGCATGTGTTTCTCCTGTCACCAGTCACTCTGTCATAAGTCTAAGTAAACTCAGAGCCACAAATGCTAAAAAGCAATTGGCATTCCAAGTTCTAAATGTGAACCTGCAGCATTTGTATATAAATATTGTCTCTGAAATTGCCAAAGTGGATTGATAAGCAATGGACACCTCTATCCCTAAATATTATTCTATTTATCACAGTAAGACACCCAGGATTCATGTGAATGACTAACTGCCTGTGAATGGCCCCCAGGTAGTGATCAAAACCTATGGGGAAGCCAGAAAGCCCTCTCCCGGGAGCCAAGCATCTCAAAGTCCAACTTGGATCGGAGCTGGCCCATGCACCGAAGCCTCCTGTTTATTCAGTGGTTCCTGATGCCTCCAAGACCAGTCTCACTATAGTCAGACAGACATCACAAGAGCTGCATTTACATCCAACAGCCACCTGAGTTTACAGAAAATGCCCATCGTTGGGAGACCTCTTGAGTCTTGAAAATTAATTTTAAGTGCTAGTGAAGGAGCAGGCAAGACGTAGTCACAGCAAGATGGTCCTGCTAGCTGCCTCTTAGGGGACAAAATACCCCTCAAGTGCATCTCATGGTAGCAGGGTCTTAAGAGCCATTCATTTTGTAATTAATGGGAAAATAGCTAAATATTGCAAATGGGCAAATGAAGCTTAGCTATGCCACTCCTTCTAGACCTAAGTCGGCCAAAGGAAATGTTCTCTTTAGTCAGGATATACTATGGATTTTAGCACCTCTTTGTAGGACTCTCTTCTTGCCTAAAATCCATACTGCACAGAACCCAGCAGGAGTGTTAGGGGTCCAGGCCAGGGCCATTACTCCAAAGGTTCTTCCTCCACTGCCTGAAGAGGCTTTAGCTTGTTTTGAGCCAGGTTGTTGTAGGCCCTAGAATAATCAGTTTCTAGTTAAGTGGGTTGACCTTAGCTTGACTTAAAATTACCACCCCTAAAGAGAGCAGAACCAGGACATTAGCAAAACGTACAGCAGTCGTACAAAAGAGCAATACAACTGTAATCAGGTTATTCCAGTCTCTAAAAGAGGCCTATCTAATAAAATCTTCAATGACTGAAACAACACTACCTAGATATAAACGGCTACTAAGTCCCCTGGAGGTTTTAAAAGTTATTTCTGTTTATTTGCAAAGTTGAATCAGGAATTCCATTGATTCTGAATTTAAGCCATCTCTCCATGGCCTTGAGCACTGCCTTTTATCAAAATCTTGACCATTTTAACTTCTCTGAAAAGTCTGAGACTATTTTTTAGTGTCTCTCTCAATTCCACTTTTTCAGTGTCTCTCCCTCTCTCTAAATTCTACTGGGGCTTGTGTGTGTATGTGTGTGTTTCTGGGGGTTAGTTTTGTTCCTAAGAATTATTCTTTTTTAAAAGTTCAGATGGAGTGATTCTAAGGTTCTTCTTGTCAACCTCAGTGAACTGTCCATACTTAGATTCTGTTACTTCATTGACATTTTTCTAATATGTTGTGTTTTCAGCCTGTGACCAGATCACCCCCATGTGGTGACTGCATTCAGCACTTTCTGATATGCTGTCTTGGACTATGTACATACTATGTATACCACAGTAAATTGAGTCACAGTGTGCTGCGAGCTCTGGCAAAGCCAAATAACCCGTAAGAGAAAATGGGCCAGAAACAGGAAGCAAGAATGGAATATGCGGTGTGGCTAATGAAGGATGACGATTCCTAGGAGGCTGCTCTCTGGACGTGCAGCAGTTTGGTTCCTTCTAGTTAGCTGAAAGCACTGCTCCAAAGAACAAACAGAAAAGGAAGGAACTGTCTGTGCCCTTAGGCAAAATCACCTACGTCCCTAGGAATCTGTTCCATTTCCTCTCAAGACAATGAGAACGTCAGACTAAATTGTGTCCATCATTCCTTCTAACTCTAATGTCCTGAGTCTATCAATGACTGGCCCCTTCCATCAATCAAGAAATGACCTCACTACACCTGGCTGTGGGAGAGAATAAAAACCCCAGACTTCCCACAGGCGGAGCTGAGAGCAAAGAGGAGGCTTCTCTCGTGGCCCAGACTCGCTCTCCACAGGTCCCCCAGCTCACGCTGTGCGGCCCACAGACCTCCATCTGCTTGACCAGTCTGCTGCGGTCATCTTTGAGGTGACTCTTGGCTTCCAGCTCATACTCCAGGTCCTTCAGCGTCTGCTCCAGAAGCTGCCTTTTTGTGAGCGCTTCATCCTGAGCTCTCTGGTAGTCCCGTAACTCTTCCTCCATTAGGCGCATCTAGGAGGAGAGACAGCTGGGATGGTTTCCTGGGGTGCCTCAAGAGCATAGAGACCTCCACAGACAGTGCACAGGCTGACTCCACCAAAAGGAAGATCCGCTGGACCCCCATAATATGGGAGATCAGAAGACCCTGAGCAAGTCCTACCTCCCTCTGGGCCTCAGTTTCCTTTTTGTAAAAAGAGGGGGTTTTCCAGCTATAGGCAGCAACCTATTAGGTTACAAATTCCATTTGGTAGATGTTGACCAGTATTTTTTAATTAAATAGAACAGAAAAAATAGCAGAGTATTAGCAAATACTGATTTGCAAATCTTTTGTACTAGACATTCATATATTTGTGCAGATGCGTGTATTCCTGGGTTGCAAGATGTAGGTTTCATTTTTGTTTTTGTTTTGTGAGATGGTGTCTTGCTTTGTTGCACAGGCTAGAGTGCAGTGGTGCAATCTTGGCTAACTGCAGCCTCCATCTCCTGGGTTCAAACAATTCTCCTGCCTCAGCCTCCCAAGTAGCTGGGATTACAGGTGCCTGCCACCACACTGAGCTAATGTTTGTATTTTTGGTAGAGATGGAGTTTCACCATGGTAACCTGGCTGGTCTCGAGCTCCTGACCTCAGGTGATGCCCACCTCGGTCTCCCAAAGTACTGGGATTGCAGGCGTGAGCCACCATGCCTGGCTGAACGCTAAATGCAGGTTTTACTAGGTCGTGTTAAAAATTCTCGAGAGCCCCTTAACTAAATACATGTTTCCCAGGGGGTAATTTATTGTCTACCGGTATCACTGTCACCTCAAAAGAGGTTTCAAGTCAGTAAAAAAGAACACACAACTGAATTAATGACCGCAAAGCAACCTACTGGCACAAAACCTAACAATATACACAGGCACATTAGGGAAAGCCACTGCTTTGTAGAAGAAAATGATTAGCTCTTAATTTACAATGTTGACTTTTTTCCATCCACAAGATGGCACTCAACTAATAGCTTTGAATAAAGTGCAACAGACAAAACAGCGTGATTCACAAGGGCCAGTCTGTGTCTTGAACTCTGGAAGCTCCCTGGGGAGACCAGCCAGCTCAGCACACAGTAGGTCTCCCTTAAACATCTGTGTGGGCTGATATGGTGAAGCCCCAGGCTGTCTGCTTTGTTCTAAGTGTCCTACCCTCTTGGAGTTGGTACCAGTATTGAGTAGAGTTACGGTCTCAGGAATAGAATACACCAGGGGGTCTGTTTCCTTCAGAGTATATGAAAGCGAATGGCAAACTCCACTACAGAATGCCACCCTTCTGCGGTGTCTGTCACAGGAGAGTTGGAAAGCCCCAGTAGTTGAGGACAGCTTCGGAAAACCCGTGAGAAAACTTGAGGAAATGTCTTCTTCTCTGGGAGGCTGACAGCAGCACTGGGCATTTCTGAGAACAGCCTAGCCTTGAAGACGACATCTCCAGATGAAGACCCGCATCTAGTTTTGGTGGTTACCATGACAGAAAGTAAATGAAAGCACAGAATGAAAATCACCCCATGGAAAAAGAGTGATGGGACATTCTCTGGATACAGAGGGTGTGCTATATTCCAGAGCATTTAAAAAAACAAAAACAAAACAACAAAAAAACGCTCTATGACTCAGTTTCCTCATTCGCAAAATTGGGATAATTATAAAACCAGCCTTCTACAGCTATTATGAGAATCAAATGAGATGATACCAAAACAGAACATGGGTATGAGGGTCAGAAAGAATGACAGGCAAATGTGCAGCCTGCGTTTCCTTCCTGTCCCCCTTCCCAATGCCCGGCGTGCCCTCCTCCACCGCTCAGCACAGCTCCACCTTCCACACCCAGCAGGTCCCTCCTAACACCTGGTAAGGGCCCCGTCATACTCAGAGTCCTTGACGGGAGCCGGCAGAAGAGAATAACTAGCATGGTGTCTGTGAACAATGTATCCTGAATCATAAGTAAGCAAACAACTTTTGAACTTCCTAGTGCTTTAAGTAGTTGAAGTCACCCTTTGCTAAAAAGGATTTAGAAAATAAACTCAATAGTGGTAATCACTAAGTCTCGATTCTCTAAAGATCAAGCTTATCGGAAGGTAGAATGGGTGAAAAATGTCTATTTCTCTCAAAGCAAATGCAGCAACTATTACAGCACTTAGAATGGACCCCTGTCGCTTTTGGGTTTTTGTTTTTTTTTTTTAAACCAAGATCTTCAACTCAGCTCAATCAAAACACAAGAAGAGGGGCAGAGAACAGAGTTGAGCTTGAGTTTTTCAAGGATCCAGAGTGACCTTGGCTTGTCAATTCACTTTTGCTTTCAACAACTCCATCACTCTAGCATCTTAGTCAAGGGTGGTGTCTCACTGTAGTTTCCCTGCAGAATGATGAGGTGTCCACGTCTGTTGCTCACATGGAAACAGCATCTCACAGGGCTGCATCAGTGAGAAAAATCCAGGAAGGGCCATCTTTATTTTCCTTGCAAGGAATCCTTTTATTTTGGAATGACTGCTCTTTTATAAACAACACCGGTCTCCATCTGGCCTTAACTATTCTCTCTGGACCTCAGTTTCCTTATCTAACTAGAGGATCTCTACATTTCCTTCCAACCCAAGGATTCTATCATAAAAATCATTATATAAAACGCAATGGGAAGTACTTTTCAGGGGTCATTGTGACACGGTGATCTTTTGAAGTCAAATCAGACCAGGTGCTTGTTGGTGTTCTGGAAGATATCTGAATCCTTCTGCCTCTGTGCTGTAGTAATGAACATGATTTTTTTTTTTTTTTTAAATGCCAAAGAGAACTGTGATGTCAGTGGGCTAATTTCAGTTCTTACTTGGAGTCCTGTATCATATAACCCTGAGCCAAAAGGGATCTGTTATCAAGGTCCTTTTCAAGAGTGTTCTAGAAGTCTGCAATAAATATCTATTGTTCTTTTACACAGTTTCAGCACTGACTCATGGGTGATGTTTCTTTGATCATCAAAGAAATTAAAGTTTGTTTTTCAAAGAAAAAAAAATGTTTTCCTGTGGAATCTTGGTGCTCTTGGCACTGTTCATGAAAAACAATAAGCCTTAAAATTAAAGAAAAGGAAATTAATATTTATGAAGTGTCTGAGATGTACAGACTCGCTGCTACACAGTCTCACATATTATCTCATTTAATTATTAAGTCACTAAAATGTGGTGTATTTTTAAAGAGGTAGAAACATATGCTCAGAAAGCTGGGGTAAGTTGCTCAAGGTGACCCAGCTGGCAAGAGATATAGCTGGAAATCAGCATAGGCTGTGCTTACATTTTGAAGCCTCCAGCTTTCCATTAAAACAATCAAAAACATCCCCTTTCTTTTTCTCAGTTCTTGAGAGGCCAAGCCTGAAGGGAGCTAACATTTGGGCTTCTTTGCTCAATTCTTCTTAAATATAAAACCAATGTTTTAATCATTTCAGTACTCATAAATTCCTGAGGATTTCTTTTATTCACCATTATTGTTGTGAAACTCTTGTCTGCTACCCTCATCCCAATAAAAGTCTGTATTTTCATAAATGAATGGCCAAAAAAACAGTCAGTTACTGTAATCCCTATTCTAGGATTAAATTAAAACATGAAAGCACATAAATAAATCATCTGGATGCAGCTGGGCACATCACGGCTGCTCCATAAATGGCAGCTAAACATGTTAGGCAAAAAATTGTAGATTCATCAAGAAAATGGTCAGGTTAAAGCTGTGTCCATTTAGCCTCACAGTCCATCAGTGGGTCCTTTGTGCTCCAGAATGCCATTTGCTCACAGAACCATCCAGAGGGTGAAGAATGAAGAGTCAAGCACAAAAGCTGTCTCACGAATCTACCGCCAGGTCCCTCACAGAAGAGTTTCAGGGCAAAGGATACTCTGATAAGCGATAAAGGAAGAACTTATCTGGCCAGGCATTACCTCATCCTGCATTTTCATGGCTGTCAGTCGGGACTTTTCTGCCTCCAGGGTTTTCTCCTTCAACTGTCTTTGCATTTCTGCGAGCTCCCTGCGATTTTTCTCCTTGTACTCATCCAGCTGGTTCTGGAGCTCCAGGGTCGATGTACGGGAGGCCTCAACAATGTCTGCCATCTGGAAGAAGTGACACGGGAGGGAGCCCACCCTGGGATGCTCTATATGAGACTAGGGTCCGGGTCCCCTTTCAACACACAGCACATCTCCTCTTCTCCCTTTCTTCTATGGCCCCTTCAAAGACAGCCCAGTGCCTGATCCTCAGCCAGCCAGCTGTGGGCACCTGTAACTTGGCAGCAGCATGGAGGAGTGGGCAGGTACGTCCTTTGGAGCCAGGCACACAGCCTCAGGGTCCTATGCCTGCTGTGCCACTTACCAGTACGTGACCGGGGCACGTCATTAACCTCTCTGGGCCCTGGCCGTGTCCGCACTGGAAACACTGAAATCATATCTACCTTACAGGGTTGTTGTCAGAATTAGTATCCGCAGATACAGATAAAACTTTATCAGCAGATGCAGGTAAAATTCTAGTTAGAAACAAAGTAGTAAAGTGTCTGGTACACAGCACGCGTCAGAAAACAGCAGACACTCATGTCAGCTCCCGGAATACAGAAAGCCTGCCAGCTTGGTGCCTTTCCCCTTCTGGGCATGGTGGGGCAGAGAGGAGGAGAAAGAGCAGCAGCTACTGAGCTTTGAAGCTGCTTTCACACTCCTGGACAAGTAATAGAGATGCAAATGCAGAGAATCTGCACAGAGACATCCATTCTGATCCAGTTAACATTGGTTCCATATGCACTGACACACAGGCTGCTTCTACTAACTGTTAAGAGTGATTCTGGTGCCCAGAATCCAGAGGAGACTGGCATTAACATTTTCTAGACCAGTTTCTCTGTATCTCTTCAACAAATCGAAAGAGCTGCCTCTGGGGATCTGCAAATCCCTGACACTTTAGGGTTTAGACCTACCGCAGGTTTCCCAGGCTTTCACCAGACCCTCAGTGGGGACTGGGTCCAGCAAAGGCATCTGGCCCTACATCCTCTTTCCTCCTCCAGCCCCTCACCTCCTTCTGCAGTTTCTCAATGGTTTTGCCCAGGTGCCACCGCTCATTCTCCATCTCGTTCTTCAACCTTCTTAGCTGCTCCTTCTGCTCACTTTCCTCTTTGAGCTTCTCAGACAACTGCTTCTGCTCCTGGATGGTCCGACTCAGATTTCTCTGCAAATGGCAGGGAAAGGACAGTGCTGTCACCTACCAACCAGGTAGCCACAGGAACGGGTATCACAGGGAACTTCACAGTCACACTGCAAAGCAATCAGATCTGTTAAATCCGTGATGAGGAAGAAGATCAAAATAAAGCCGCCACAGAGACAGAAGGACATTGTTGGTTCTGAAATTCAGGGACCAGAAAGGAAAGTTGACTTACCCAAAAACATCCACAGGAATGAAGGGGCAGACAAACAATGTGCTACAGAAATACATGGCCAAGGCTGCTGATGGTGGGCATTCAGGATAGTGTCTGAAAACCTGAATGTTCATGCTTGAAAATCGAGGTCAAGTTGTATATTACAACAACCTAAACCTACTTGGCAATTTATGTCCTGTGACACGCAACATCACACCTAATATTCCAGTATTTACTGTGCTATGCAGATGGTTCTTACAGTTAGAATAACTAAAAATGAATCACGAAGAGAACACTACCCCACAGAACAAAGGTCCACTTGGGTAAAGGCAGTTGTCATCAACAGAATCCATGAATGGGACTCAGACACAGGCAAAAAGGAATTTGGAAACTCACAGGTTGATGAACTTGATGAACAGAAAGTGTTAAATGGAAGAGACACTAGTCAGATAAAATACTAGTCAGGTGGGTGGTTATTTATTGAATCAGCACCAAATACTAGTGCCTACCATAAAATACAACCATCTGAGTGCAATACTCCCCTCAGTTCCCCTGAGGCTCTCATCTCACAAAGTCACACAGACTTATGTTCTTTACGTAAACAACATGCAATTCCAAAATAAAATCCTAAAATATTATAGGAAGGTTACGGTGGTTTCTTTAAATGGCTAAGCATTAGGGCCATAGGTATCAGGATAAGAAGAAGAGGCACAGCTCGAAACAGAGCAACCTGACTCAAACACAGACTGAATCATCTCGAAAACGTTGTCAGGCACTGAGGGGCTGACTGTGGGCCACTACAGGAACAACTCAGGGCCTACCCGGTCTTGTGTCCCTGCAGTGACTGCACAAGAACAATGGTTTATATTTGTACAGTGCTTAACAGTTTACAAGCTGCTGCCACAGGCAGTAACTCAGGATCTTGAAAACATTCCAAATCACTTCGGACTCTCCTGGTTTGCAGAGCATAGGAACAGATCTGCTCTGCCAGCCACGTGACATGGGGCTAAAACACTACCCGTGGCGGCCTTCCGGTCCCTGGTCTCTGCTGGGCTGGCTGCACTTTGAGAAGCAGCCAAGAGAACCAAGATTAACAAAAGCTGTTAGGGAAAAGATGGTGGCAAAAAGAAAGGTAATCAGAAGTTCAGTGTTGGGGGAATTAGCAGGAGTGGGCTCCAGCACAGCTGCCGCTGGGCACCCAGCAGAAGCAGAGTCAAACCTGGGGTTTCTGTTGATCGATGATTTAGCAGTGTTGGGGTAAAGGGTGAGGAGGAGTTATAGAACCAGTGAAGTATGGTATGGGACAAAACCCTCAAAACACGTGTCCCAAAAAATGTCAATTCATGAAAACAACAAATACAGAGGGCCCCCAATGGCTTCCTATAGAATCTTCAGGATC